GCACGGATTACCAGGTGTAAGGGCTAATCTAATGACATAGTTTTGCGGCCAGGGGAGGTAAATAAACTACGAAATGGGTGAAGGAATGGCAGGGACTCTCAATACCAGTTGATGAAATCTGAAGTTTCTAGATTCTGAAGTTAGGCTTACGGGCTGAAGATTTGATGGTGGCGTCGTCTTCAGATTCGGACTTTAAAATCTGAAGACGTCTGAAGATTTCAGATGTCTTCAGATTCTTACGGGGAGGTATCCAATCAACGTTCAACGAAAGGCGTTGGAAATTTTTCGGTTAATAATAATTTCCATGCCGAACCTCAATCACAAACACGATGTCGTGTCTTGACTCTTGCGTGCAGCTCCTTGGCCAGATGGCAGATATCTTCTAAGTTCTGGGTTGCCTTTTGCCTGCCCTTGTGGGTCATTGCTTGAATTAGATCATGGTGACGTATATAGAGAGCGATCAGAGTCCTAGTTTTTCGAGATCCAGGCACGTAGGTCGGGTCATCGGTCCTCTGGCTAGAGGAAGGCACGGGAAACATTGCCCAATATTATTATTAGTATTACCAATTGGGATATCTTGAGAAAGTGCGATACTTTTTCTTTTCAGGCGCATTCTGATTATATTCTCAAAGTTTTTCATGTGGGGCAAGTCATGGGATTCTTTCAAATCCGGCCCAAGGAGTTTGCTACGAATAAAATTAACAGGAAAATGGTATCCTTTGTTTTCGGAGGCGATACAAAATTTATAAATGTTGATAAAAAGGGCGGGAAAGGATGGAATTTCTGAGAGAGGACTAATTATTCAAATGACTTTCTTCTTTGTGGGAAGGGAAAAAAATATTGACAAGAAAGATCACAATGTTCCAGCCAGTGTCGCAATTGCTCTGGCTATCCCGCTCTGAGATATTGTGGTGCAATGTTTCTCGTGAGGAAGGTGAAGACCCGAGAAGGGCGATCATATGATGCGCTCTCGCCAAGTCATGGTGAAAAGGGATCTCCAGGCACGTCGCGGAGATAAGCTCGGTTGAAATGTGCGTGACCAATGCGTGACTGTTCTTCCTGATTTCATAGATCTCGGTACCTGACTGTCGCTCGGTGAAGATAATGTTCAAAAATGGATCCTCTCTTGCGAGATATGTAATTGGTATAAGTACTGTTGCTGCTGCTGTACCTGGCGTTAATAATCCAATCTCTCATCTCTAGAATCATCTGAATGTTCGTCCAAACCACTGACGACCCACTCGACGAGGTACTCAAGCCGCCTCCGGACGAGTCTCCAGAACACCGCGCTATAAGGCTGCAGAATGAAGCAGAGGCAAAGAGCGTTAGCTTGGCTATTGATGCTGGCATCAAGGCTGAACTACATGCGAGGAGGAAAAAGCGGATTGTGAGGCTGTTGTTGTTGGGTCAGAGCGAGTCTGGTGAGCTTCGTTATCGTTTTACCCTACTTGTACCTATGACAGTGTGCATCCAGGGAAATCAACGACTCTACGACGTACGTCCCCTCTGCCTCTTTTCGTAGATATAAAAGCTTATCACCACCCTGCAGAATTTCAACGACTGTATACGCCCACTGCCTTTCGCGAGGAACGTATCCTCTGGCGCGCCGTTATCCAGCTCAACATCGTCAGGTCAATACGCACCATCCTTAATGCGCTGACCTTTCCTTCAACGTCATGGCATACATCACCTTATTCGTCCCCTCGTTCAAGGGCACACACGATATTCCTGCCGCCTTTACCAAACCACCCGCCCCTTCCAAGCATTGAATACGAGCTATACAATGGGAATGGGAATGACACGACGCTAACCTTTGGCTCTTCCTCCCCCACGAGTGTCAACAGACACCCGCACCACCACTCCCACTCACCCCCGTCCAACCCAGATTCGGACGCAGACTCCGAGTCTGATTTTGTTTATCCCCACCAGCACGGACACTACCCACACCGCAGCCCGCCCTCCAACCCATCCATCACACTCGCGCCTACACCAGGCTTGGACGCACGAAAGCGCGCTTGTGCCCCTC